AAAAAAAAAACAATGGAAAAGCAACTATTTCTTCTAAAAAACCACACTGTCATCGACTCAATACTCAAAACGAAGTACTGAAAACAAATCAGTTGGGCCAAAACTCACACAAAAGAAGACAAAGAGAATCATCAATGATGTATTTATTATTTATGACCTAACTGGAATGAGTTGTTGAATGCATTGTCCTGGGGGTTTCGGGGTCACAAAGATTATGAAGATAAGGCTTCCCTCTAAAAGTTCTCATCTAAAAGGGAAAGTGAAGATTTAAGGGAGTTCAGAGGCATGAGAGAGAACTTTGTTTTGTGTGTCCAATGGGGAGGACAAGTGAAGGTTTCATGATGGAGGTAACTGGGCTGAAATTGAAGAACAGGTAAAATTTCAACAGCCAGGAACAGGAGAAAGATCATTTTAGCTAGAACAGCCAGGCTGGAAACAGACATAAAGGTGATAAAGGGACGATCACCTTCATAAACTAAAAGGCAGCATGGCCTGGCCTTGACTGAGCATTGCACCTGTAAAATGGGGACGATACACCATTTCACAGACTATAATAAAGAATATGTAAAGCGCCTGAATACTCATAACAGCTACCATTACCCCATGTGCCAGGCCCTTCACATAGTTTCTCATAATCTTCACTTGAGAACCTTATGAGACGGGCCTTATCCCAATTGCTGTGCAACTCTCAGTGAGACTGACCTACTTGTGCCAGCTCTTATGATAAGCCAGTGTCTGTCTCCAGAGTTGGCGCTCTTAACTACGTCATAGTATTAGCAAATGTAATACGAAAAAGGGAGGCAAAAGGGAAGGAATATTTGCCAAGTGTCTTAGACTTAAAATGCTAGGGTCTTACATTATACCTATAACTTGTATATAGATAGATAGGTATATAATTTCCCCCCCCCCTCCCTCCCTCCCTTCCTCCCTCCCTCCCTTCCTTCCTTCTTTCCTTCCTTCCTTCCTTCAGCCCAGACAATAGGGGTCCTTGATGAAGCAAAGGAATTCAGAATCTGAACAACCTTTAAAAACAAGGAGAAAAAGGAACAAAACACCAGCTAGAAGTTTGTATCCTCAAAATGGCTTACAGTGATCAGAGTATGGCATTTGTTTTGTGGTGATTTTTAACATGGTTTTTGCAAAGGCAAGGTCTGGAATTAAATTCTACTTAGTGATCATACTGCTCTCTAATTTTTAAAAGAAATACAAAGTAAAATTTTGTAAGGTCTCTGGAAGACTATACGTGTATATATTACGTTGCTGATACCAAAGAGTTGCTCCCTTAGTCTTGTTACTTAAATTGAGTAAAATTTATTATTTTCTTTAGCAATGTGGAAATAAACCAGAAAGGAATTATAAGCTAATAGCTTTGAACTTCAATGTAATTTCATTATAGGTAATAATGAATTATATAATTTTTTTTATGAATTCCTATGAATTCAAGTTTATGTGAAGTTGGCTAGAAACCATAGAACTATCACACTCAAAAGAGATTTGGTGATCATTTAATACCCACGCCCAAATTTTACAGAAGAACAAAATGACTGTTTCAAGGAACTATATAAATTTTTTTATGAATTCCTATGAATTCAAGTTTATGTGAAGTTGGCTAGAAACCATAGAACTATCACACTCGAAAGGGATTTGGTGATCATTTAATACCCACGCCCAAATTTTACAGAAGAACAAAATGACTGTTTCAAGGCCTAGGGTCATGCAGCTTAGTAAACTGCAAAATGCTCTTTATCACTTCACCAAGCAGGGGATATATTTTAGTTCCACTTGTACAGTGTTAGGAGGGTAAATCTTCCTCCATGTTTCTAACTGGGTAGAATTAAATAGTGCCACCATCGTTCTTTTCCAATTTATGCCTTTATGCCTTCTGTATTTTAGTTTAATCCACCCCTGCTTTAGCAGTCATTGACCTTCAGGTACAACAAGTAAATAAGAAAACTCTAAACAAAAGAAATCGCTAAGCTCTCCTTATCTCACACTGACACAGTAGTGTCAACAATTCTCGAGTCCCTGAAAAATAACGAGTGAGAGCCAGTTATTGCAATTACCAAGGAAACAGGCAATGGAGATGGGTTATAAACAGCATTCGGACATGGACTGTCTGGCATACATGAAAATTAGAACAAAATTAATGCCTCGTAATCTGAATACAGAAATTCACTGAGGATTTGAATTTAATGACTAAGAAAAACAAAGATTCTGAATTCCCAAGTTACTGAAACCCAAGAGGAAAAGGTTAGGTCATAACCACCTAAGGCCAATCTTCTCTTAGAGAAACTGGCTCACTTAAAACTATGCTTTCTACCCTAAATGAATCATTGTGCAGTATATGCATGTATGGAAACAACACACTGTACCCTACAAATATGCACAGGTATATGTTAAAGTAAAATAAAATAAACATATATCTTCCTTTAAAAAAAAATAAAATAAAACAAAGTCTGGAGTTTGCTTGAGTTTTACATTCTTTCCAGACCCTATTGCATTTCACAGGTAGAAGAATGTAACTTTAACTTCAGTGATAGGAGGATACAGGACCATTCTTAAAAAACAAATCCACAGACCACTACTTACAATGGGAACTGTGTTATTTGACACCAACATGATAAAAGGTAACTCCTTGAGGTTGTCTGATCCTGATTTTGAGAAGCCCAGATACCTATTAACCTTCTATCTCCTGCCCAAGTGGCTGTTTACTGAAGCATGGGCTGTTCCTTCTGACCAAGTATCCACGTGGCATTTCCCAGCTTAGGTTCGAAGGACTGCTCTATTGCGAGCTTCTTGGTACAGATGGATTTACTAATTTATAAGCTTTTTAGAGCAGTTGAGTCCTTTTTGAATTCTCCAGAAACACAGTGATTTCACATAGTAAGGACTCAATGTAAATTTGCTCAACAAATGAACAGAAACAGAAAGGAGGGGCAGCTCCAGACTAGTTCAGCTGCCTCTCCGGCGATTTTTACAGTTAGTTGCTAAACCTGACAAAAGCACTTTTCTGATATTGAGGTTTTTCGGATTTGTGTCCTTCTTTCCTTTCATAAGTACATCCTTTTGCTAATGTTTTCTAGTTTCATTGTAGATTTGCTGTTGATTCTCAGTCCCTTCCCTTTATTCCGCTGTGTAGCTGCTTCTTCACAAAAGACCCCCCTATCTTTTGGAGGAAAAAACCATGCATGTCTTTCTAATAGTGAGCATTTCTGAGACTTTACACATACCATGCAAGGGTAGCTTATTTTAGTCCTGTGACAAGTACTTTTAATTACCTTTCCAGAACATCACTACAGAAACTTTTACTGCTCTCTGGTACAAATTATCTGAATTCTGGGTCTCTGTGTTTTTACTAGAATCATAGCTTTACATGCAGATAGGAACTCAAGGATCTATGTCTACTAATCCAGATCACTGCAGTATTACTGGCTTTTCATATCTAACCTTAGCTGCTGAAGAACTTCTTTGAGCTGAGCCCAGGTGACACAAAGTTGAATTGATTGGCCCTTTCCAGTGACTATTCCTTTCATCCTCTTTGTGTCTTCTGATGGGAGTTCCTTTTGCTACTTTCAAAGTCTGCAACACTGGCAGTCATCTTTGGCCCTGCAGCATTTTTTTTAAAGTCTCATATTAACTATAATACTGTGGAGGAGCCTCGTTACCAACCAAGTAAGTTCTGCAGGTGAAAGCTCAAGCTGGTGTGTCTTGCAGAGATGTGGACAGCCCCTGTGCATGTTTTCATCATGTCTCAGCTGCGTATGTCATTCATTACTTGTACATCCACTTGCCACCTCCCTCCTAGGTTTTCATCATATGAAGAACCTCCTCTGGTCTAGTTCTCTGTGCACAGCCTACTTATTCCAACAGAATGTAAGTCCCTTCCAGCAGGGAGGATGCCTGGATCTTGGTAACCAATTTGACAGAATTTACGTTTTCTAGGAAATGACCTTGCTGACCATCCTTAGCTTTGGAACTAGGAATGTGATATTTATGTCCACAGATGTTTTCTTATTTTTCTGTCAACTCAAGACACTTTGATTTCTTTAAAACACTGATCCCTGTCGTGAAGCAGTTCTACATTTTTAGATAAGTCATTAAAGCTGGCCTATTTTGTAAGAAAGGCTCTTATTTTTCTGTCAACTCAAGACACTTTGATTTCTTTAAAACACTGATCCCTGTCTTGAAGCAGTTCTACATTTTTAGATAAGTCATTAAAGCTGGCCTATTTTGTAAGAAAGGCTCTCTTACACTCAGTTTTAACTTTGATTGTTAACATCTGCAAAGTGCTTTGAGATGTTCTCCGGAAGGATGCAGTATGTATCACTTGACTGATGGCTCAATCAATGAGTGGTCCTTCCCAACATTACTCAGAGTAGTTAGCAGCTACAAATGCATCTTATGTTCTATATCCAGATTCATCATTATCTCAAGACACTGCCAAACTTGAGAAACGAACTTGAGACCAATTTTAAGGAAATATGAACTTTTTCTTTACTGTTAGCAATGCATATACAAGGACATAAACATATATGAGAGATACCCTACATTCTTAATAATTTACACTATATTATTAATAATTTGTAATTTTTTATAGAGTGGGAATTAAATAATCTTTGTTCATGTGAAGCAACTTGACATTTAAATATAAAATTCTTAAGAAATATCAATTGTTGTATGGTAAAAATGTTACCCTGTTAATGCTTAATTGTCTAAGGTAATGAATGAGAACCATAACCCAGATAATTTAAAATAGTAAAAAATACAAAAAGCTTTTCAATTTGACTTTATATTGCATTTTGTATGAAATGAATCTAAACATGAGAGGTATTTTACTAATTACAACTTTTTGTATTATAATTTAAAATACCTTCCTTTGCATGAATGAGGAGATAGAGGAAAGGAACAAAGAAGAGTTAAGAAAGGCATATTAAAAATTTGTGTGTCAAACACAAGCCAAAACTCACATAAATTATTAGACATTAATTTTACTTACATTTGAATTTGTCATTGCTCTAAAAGTCATTGCTCTAAATTGCAAACTTAGTTTACAATGAAAAATATGATTTGAGCAATATAAAACTTAACCAGATTTGTTAAAATTCGAATTTTCAGGATTTTGCTGCAAAATTATAGTACAATTCACTTTAAATAAGTTTTTAGTGAGTAAAATTTCAAAGAAACTATAGATTTAAACTGACCTTTCTAACAGAAAAATAGGGACTGCAGATTGAAAAGAAATAATCAATGCTTACCATTAAACTTTTAAATTTTCTATTTTCTGCAATGTGAAAAAAACCATCTCTTGTTAAAATCTTGATGTGCTTTGCTTCATTATTGTACCTGTGGGCAATGAATAACTTATGAATATAAATGTGTTTTTAATCAGGAGAAGTCAATAATCACCAGAGGGCATGCCCCAATAACATTATAGGAATTAATTCTGAAGACAAAATATATACCTATGCCAATACATTGGTGACAGCTAATTAACAAAATATATTTACTAGATTGGTTGAAGATACAACCAATACTTGAAGTGAGGGAGGCGTTGGATTTGACTAAACATTATGCTCAATTTATTTAGTAAGTCATTTTGAGGATGTAGAAAAAACAAAACAAAATCTAGTTATTTATACTCTCAGAATCTACTAGAAATATACACACATCAAATGACACATCAAATTACTAAAATACAGTGTTATGAAAGAAATCTAATATGCCAATTAGCAGGCTGTAACACTTATTACTGTTTTTGTAACAGATATTTTCTAGTATTAATGAACTGTCTGGATAGATGCATTATTTCTGCTGCATTTAGAACCTTCGTTTTCAACTTCAGTGTTATACATGTCAGATGGTCTATGCAATTATGAAAGCAGGAAATCTATTTCTGTAAAAGTGCTTGTCCTACTTACTTAATGCTAATTGCATATTCTCCTGACTCTTTGGTCCTGTGCCTCACAAGGTAAGTACTATTTACCCTATTAATAAGTTCAGTCTCTGCCTGCAATCTTTCCATTGCTCCAGCATACCTGTAAGAAAACAATGACACAGAAAATTTGGATAATGTACCTGAAAGAGAACAGAGGCTAAAAATAAATACCTGTCAGGATTTTAATTTGGTGGCAGATATGAGATGTTTTCACTCCTATACTAATTACGTTGCTTAAGAAAAAAACTCAGAAAAGTCCTTTAATACATCCAAACACAATGCTCTACAAAGTTAACAACAGCAAAGTGAATAGTGCTTAATATACAGTAAGCACCCAGTAAATATGTATTAAATAAATAAACAGGACAAAGAGAGGAGTTGGTAGGTAATGGGTTAAAAAGACAGTTGTGGGGAGTTTAGGGACAAGAAGGAAAGAGACTAGTAGGAAGGGACTGCTCTGCATAAGACAGACAGACACACACACACACACACACACACACACACACACACACTTCACTGTTTCCATGTATACTACAATGTGAAATCTCATTCGAGCATTATTTTAAGAAAATTCTAGTAACAATTTAAAATGTTTTAAAATAATAATTTGGGGCATATAAGATTCTTATAGTCCACAATTTTGATAACCAATTTCCTTAAGAAATTAGTGTTAATAAAATTTACTTTTAAAATGTACTTTTTCAAAGCCAGAATTCAATTCTTCCTAGATTATGTTGGCCTTAAGTGTACCCAAACTCCATAATAATAAATATAATAAGATGCCCAAGTACAATGTTAAAATGTTCTTTAATGACACTTCACCTCAAATATAGGTGTAATATTTATTGGCAAAATACATCAGAGATTTTGGACAACAGAAGTTAAAGGAAAAAATTTTACTTTTAGGTTGGCTCTCTTTCAAAGCTATTCATAAATTAATATTTCAGAAAATTCTCTAATTCACATACAGACTCATGTAACTCAGTATAAATATCCACCTCTAATCTATACTAAATATTTAAAATGCATGTAGTAGGCATTCAACAAGTTTGTTGAGGGAAAGCATGTTAAGTTTCCATCAAGTATAAAAGAGGAGCTAAGGGCATTTTATGCAGAAGATACCCTGAGTTAGAAGAACAGTTGTGAGGGCCGGCCCGGTGGCACACTGGATAGGTGCGCCGCTTGGGAAGCGCGGCGGCGCTCCCGCCCGAGGGTTCGGATCCCACATACAGACCGGTTCCCGCTCACTGGCTGAGCGAGGCGCGGGAGCAGCACCGAGGGTTGTGATCCCATTGCCGGTCCCCGGTCCGGTACGGGGGCAACACTGAGGGTTGCAATCCATTGCCGGACACGGAAAAAGACAAAAGACAAAAAAAAAAAAAAAAGAAGAAGAAGAACAGTTGTGACAACCCATAAACTGTTAGGACCTAGTATGATCTGACTTATGCCTACTGCTTCAACATTATCTCTTACAACCCCCTTCATCATTAGTCTCTACCCTTCATCAAGAAATTCAGGACCAGGAATTCATCAAGCTCCTTTTGATCTTCAAAACGTCTCAAAGACTATACTCTGGAGGCAAAGAGCATGCCAAGAGTCCTATGCAGGAGCCAAAGGCAGCCCCCACAGCATGGAAGCAGGCACGGAGCAAGCCTAGGATCCCAGGCAGGAGCCAAGGGCAGCACTGTCCACCCAGAAGGCAAGGACGACGCTGAAAATACCACTTCTGTGTGGATGGCCCACCACAGCCACCACCACAGTTGCCATAAAAACAACTCACTGCCACGGCAGTAGCCACAGCCACTGTGCAGGCAGCCTACCAGACATTTGACTGCATTGACACAAGGACAGCCACCAGTGGAGACTGGAAAAAAAAGAAGTCTCTCCCCTCAAAGCCACTCTAGAGTAATAGAAGAAGCAACTGCTCTACCTGATGACCAGACATCAACGTGGCGATACTAGAAATATAAAATCCCAAGAAAATATGACACCACCAAAAGAATACAGTAATTCTCATATACCAGACCCTATAGGGCAGGACACCCTTGAAATGACTGAAAAGGAATTATGAGCAACAATCTTAAGGAAACTCAATGAGATAAGAAAAGACTCAGACAACATAATGAAATGGGGGGGGGGGGAACCCGGGATATGAAGGAGATTTTTACAAATAGATTAATACCCTAAAAAAGAATGGAGCAGAACTCATGGATCTGAAAGATTCACTCAATGAAATAAAAAACACAAGTGATCACTTAAGCAGCAGACTCGAACAAAAGAATGTAGCAGAACTCTTGAAACTGAAAGATTAACTCAACAAAATAAAAAACACAACTGAGAGCTTAAGCAACAGGCTAGAACAAGCAGAAGAAAGAATTTTTGATCTTGAAGATAGTATTTTTGAAATAACCCAGGCAGACAAAAACAAAAGGAAAAAGAATTTTTTTAAAAAAATGAAGAAAATCTAAGAGAGTTAGAAGACAACCTTAAATGCACAAACATTCAAGTCATGGGTATTCCAGAAGGGGAGGAGAAAAGAAAAGGCATGGAAAACCCATTCAATGAAATAATAATGGAAAACTTCCTAGGAATAGGGAGAGACATGGACCTTCAGATCCAGGAGACTCAAAGATCCCCAAACAGATTCGACCCAAAAAGATTCTCTCCAAGACAAGAGGTTATACTATAGTCAAGCTGGCAAAGCTCAAAGACAATGCGAGAATCTTAAAAGAAACAAGAGAAAAGCATCAAATCACCTATAAGGGAGGCCCTATCAGACAAACAGTAGACTTCTCAACAGAAACTCTACAGGCCAGAAGAAAATGGTATGAAATGTATTTTCAAAATACTAAAAGAAAAAAACTGCCAGCCAAGAATACTATGCCCAGCAAGGCTATCCTTCAGAAATGAAGGAGAAATAGTGTACTTTCCAGACAAACAAAAGCTGTGGGAGTTCACACTGCATGACCAGCCCTGCAAGAAATCCACAAGGGAGTCCTGTATCAGAATTCAAAAAATTATAATCACTATCACAAATACGTAAGAAAGAACAAAACCCACTGATAGAACAAAAATGCAAATGAAAGAGAGAAATAAACTAAATTTTGCCACCACAAAAAACCATAATGACAATGAAACAAAAGCAGGTAAATTCTTAGTCACTTTGGAAGATGACAGGGAAACAATTCATTCTTCTAAAAATAGGAAGTAAAACGGAAGAGTCAAGCATATATCCTATCTTTCCTCTATGAATTGTGCTTCAGGGTAACCATAATTAGCTGAGAAGGGAACACTTATATCTTTTGAAGTATCCCAGCTAGTACATAAAAAGGGAATAAAATAATTAGAATACGGTATTTTGCAAACACCCACTGAAATAATGGATGTAGCAAATGATCAGCAATGACTGCTAACATTACTGACAAACAGACATGATGGGTCTCCTGCAGTAAGAACATATACCTCTGAAGCCAAATCTAACCTGAGTAAGATCCAGCAACCAATCCTCAGGAGATGCAGGGGATGACAGAACATGTTAAATAACACTACTGGGATGGAGCCAGCAAATCCAGACCTTGGGAAATTTTATGGGGTAAAGGGAAAGATATTAGATGAAGGGGGAACCAATAGATTAAAAGAAACTTAAGAGACCTCTGACATAGCAACCAAGACAACAAGTAGAACTTGTTTGGATCCTGATGTAAACAAATCAATTGTAAGAAAGAAAGAAGGGGGGGGGAGAGAATTGGGGAAATTTAAACATGTTTAATGTTTGATTATATTAAAGTATGATGTCACATTCAAAGAATATCTGACCTCCAAAAAATAATTGCTTAAGTTGTTGTTTGCTCAAGCTTCTTTGTCTCTATCACAAAATCTTTCCAAATTCTCAAAGTAAACCCCTCAGTAATACATTTTTCAATACCACGTAACCTCCCTGTTGATTTTTTTCTGTGGAGCTATTTCTTCTGAGCCCTTCTCTTTCTTGGTCTAACTGACACTGCTCGTGGTCTAAGTCCACAGAATTATTGTAGTCCTGGGACTTCCCTTTGCTCCCCTTTACTGGATGCTGTATCTCCCTCCTCCTTGGTTCACTAGCTCACCCTTCAGCTTCCTGTAGATGCATACATGAGATGTCGGACTCTGAAGGACCACATCCAGGAAAACATTTATTTAACAAACACTTAATTTGGACTTTGGCTGAGTACAGAATTCTAGCTGAGAAATTATTTTGCCTCTCAAATAGTAATGTACTGTTTCACTGTCTTCTTACTTCTCTTCAAGGTCATTCTGATTTGATTCTTTGCATATGACTTTCTTCCTGGGAAACTTTCAGATTCTTTCTGAATTCTCTATACTGTAAAATTTCATGATAATGTCCTTTCTCATATTGCCTGGGCTTTCGGTAGCATTTTCAACTTGGAGCCACATGTCCTTCATTTCTGAGAAAATTTTGTATTATTTCTTTTTTGTTTTTTTAATTGAAACAAATTTATTTTGTTTCAAATTTTTAATGGAAAGAATTTTATTGATTACACATATTTGTGGGGTCCAGAGTTGACTACCAATACACGTATACAATGTGTAATGATGAAATCAGGGTAATTAGCATATTCATCATTACAAAACTTAATCATTTCTTTGTGATGAGGACATTCCATCTCCTTTTCTCTAGCCATTTGTTAACAGGCAGATCACTGTTAATTATAGATGCCTAGCTAGACTGTACAACGATAGAACTTATTTTTTCCTATTTAGCTGTTTTGTGTCAATTAACCAACCAACCTCTCACTCTTCCCCTCCCCACCCTTCTAAGCCTCTAGCAACCACAGTTCTGCTCTCTCTTTCTGAAGGTTCAATTTATTATTATTATTGTTTGTTTGTTTATTTACTTTTTAGCTCCCACTTTGAACAAGAACATATAGTATGTCTCTTTCTGTGCCTGGCTTATTTCACTTAACATAATGTTTTCCAAGCTCATACATGCTGCTGCAAATGACAGAGTTTCATTCTTTTTTATGGCTGAGTAGTATTCCACTGTGTACATATACCACATTTTCTTTATCCAGTCATCCGTCAATGGACATTCAGGTTGGTTCCATAACTTGGCTATTGTAAATAGAGTTGCAATAAACATGGGGGTGCAGGTATTCCTCTGACATTATGATTTCCATTCCTTTGGGTATATACCCAGCAATGAGATTGCTGGGTCATATGGCAGTTCTACCTGTAGTTGTTTGAGAAACCTCCATACTGTTTTCCATTAAAGCTGCACTAAATTCCAGTCCCACCAACAGTGTAGGAGTGTTCCCTTTTCTCCACATCCTTGCCAGAATTTGTTATTCTCCGTCTTTTTGATAATAGCCAGTCTAACTGTGGTGAGATAATATCTCAGTGTGGTTTTGATTTGCATTTCCCTGATGCTGAGTGATGCTGAGCATTTTTTCATATACTTATTGGCTTCATATGTATTTGTATGTCTTCTTTTGAGAAATGTCTATTCAGATCCTTTGCCCGTTTTTTAATTGGATTATTTGGTTTTTTGATAATAGCTGGTCTGACTGGGGTGAGATGATACCTCAATGTAGTTTTGATGATTAGTGATTGATGTGATGTTTTCTTTACATTTTTAAGGTGTAAATAAAAAGGTTTTTTTTTTTATTTTTACAAAAAAATTCTTCTGCTCACTCTAATGTCTATTTTCTTCAAGTTTTTTTTTTCCATTTATTTTATTTGTTCTGTAGTACAATGTTTTCCTCAAATGCCTGGCTACCCTTTGCTGTTTGTTCATATTTCAGAGGGAGGCACCCAAGAACTGATTGGAAGCTCTGTGTATGTGGGGACCCAGGGAGGCCCATTGGGCAATAGCCTGAGCATTTGACAAGAACCTGATAACTGGGCTGGGTAACACCCAAACATTAGGATTTGGGAATTTTTGCTCCAAGTCCATTCAGTTTCTTTAGAGAAAAATCTTCAAAATTCCTGTCTGGATACAAGGACAGGGTGGTATATGTGTGACTCAACTGCCACAGTTCTGGAACTGGGCTATCCAAAGGAACTGGGGATCATCACTCGGTATAGAGACTTTCCTTAACTTAACCCCTCTGTTGTTAGTATGGCATCTCCCCAACCTCTGCTAGCCCTGGTCTTTCTAAGTATAGACCCCATATGGTTCATTTTTTTTAACATAATATACCTTCTAACTCCAGTGTCCCCTACCAGACTAGGAGAAGGAAAGTTGACCAACCAAGTATAGGCCCCATATGGTTCAATTTTTTTACATAATATACCTTCTAACTCCAGTGTCCCCTACCAGACTAGGAGAAGGAAAGTTGACCAACTACTAGGAGGGTGGGGTAGAAAACTAGGCATTTATCTCCTGTTCTACATGCAGATTTTTAGACATTTCCCCAGTTTTCTGTCCCATACCTTATCCCTACCTTTTGACACTCCCAAACATAGATTATTAAAAATTATCGTCTTGATTTTCTATTTTATTTAACAGCCTAAGTAAGAGACAAAATTTACTCTATGGGAACATCTTACTTTTAAATGTGGAAATAATGAACAGATAATATAGTTGGTGATATTTAACTTCTCAGTAACTTGAGAACAACCATGCCATCATTCAGAGTAATTTTCTCTAAAGGGTTTAGTAGTTCTAAAATTGAAGATTCCATTTTCTGGTGCAGTTGGTCATTTTGTTCCCTAGCAGAAGACATTTCGCATGAAACTGCCTACTTAGTTTGAATAAATTGTCCAGGTTGCTTAAGAAAAAAAAAGTAATTTTAAAATTCTAAAATAAAATACCTTTATTTCTTCCTCTTTCCTAAGCTCTTTCTTTGTCTGAACATCTTGATTTTTTTTTATCTTTAGGAATAATACTATTCTAACTGTTCATATTTCCAATAGAAATTTACACATTGGCAAGGATGCATTTTAAAACAAAGGGTACAAAAGCTACACTCTTGTGCCCTGAATGATTTCCAGGTAGCTGACTGGTTTATTTCATAAAACCTATGTAGTTTGTGGCACTATTACTTATTTCTAAAATCATCACCCCTGCAACTATAATGACTAGTTACATGAAAAATGGTAAAAGAAAAGAGAAGGAAAGAACCTGATCATTGTACTTTCATGATTCCTACCAGTTTCTAATGTTTTCCAGTATGATTGTCTATCCCCAAATTTAATTCCTGGCAGCATTATAGTTTTAAATTCCACAGAAAATAAAACCTCAAATTTGTCTTAAACCAGGTAAAAATAATGCAAAGATTCCCAGTTTTATCACAAACCTGCTATAATTTCTTCAGCAAGCTCAGTGCAGAGGCCCAGAGAGGGACATCAGAGAGGACAGGTAATGATGACAGAAGGCAGAAGTGACTGACTGTGGAGGGACAGCAAGAGGGTCTGAGCAGGAGAAGCACACCACCCTGGGCAATGGATTCCTACACACTGAAAAGTAACCTGGCATTGTCCACACTTTGGTTATAGAATAGAAAATAATCAGAATATGTAAAAAAAATATCAGACCACTCAGGTGGTATCTGCACTTGCAAACCAAAGTAGTACTACATACTCTCAGAATATCTCACTTATAAAAGTATCCTGATCTCTCATTTGTATGCATATACTTCAATATCAAGAAAATAAAAATTGATTCAGTCACTTTAAAAGGAGTCAAACACAAAGTTCAGGGAAACAAATATAACTGAGTACCATGCCCATGTTTTATATTTTAAGGGCCCAAATAGCAAGGTACAGATGGCATAACTTGGACTCCTGGCTCTACAACTTACTAGTCGCATGGCCTTAACCTTTGTCTCTTCACCCATAAAAAAAAAAAAAAAAAACTCCCTTAGACAAATGTTGAAAAAACAAAATGAAATAAGATGTGTAAAGTACCAAGCACACAGTAAGGACTCAGTATATAAGTTGTTATGATATGATGATCGTTAACTATTCTGGATTCCTAATATATTTTTTACAGTTGAAGATATTGGAAAATAATAATCACTGTCCACTTAACTTCCTTGGGTCTGTTAATGACCCTGTGTGCCTCCAAGCAGTAAGTGTGTTCCTTCTAGACCCCAAACTCCCATATCACATGTTGTAAATTGTATTTTTAGAATCTACTGTCCTTTTTGAGCTAAGTTTTAGTTTCAGATCATTGAATCCTATTTATTTTTTCTCTTGGCTTCATGATATCTACTTTCTAAAATATAAGATACACATTTGCCAATGTCCCATTCCTTTCTGTGGCTGTTATAAACTTTTAATTTACAGTCAAGTGTGTTCATACATGAATACATACACACACACACACACACAGTGCTCTCTGATAAAGATATGGAAAGGCTAGCAATATATGAATTCATTACGGTGTTTTGTTACATCTGAAAGCACCTTTAGCCAGGACAAATGGAAGTGGAACATGGTTTACTAGCCCCACGTTTAACGCATCCTGGAGCTAAGGGTATGGTATTTCAACTTAGCCACATAAACATTTTTAATACTTACCAGGGCTGGCAAGAATAATCTACTGGTTTAGGGACCTAGAATATAAAAAGGCAAAATAGATTAAGTTTACTTAAGGGAAGCTTTTAGAAATCAATCACTAATTCAGTTCAGCTGACTCAGCTCTATAAAACCCTAAGTAGCACAGTCCTGAAACTATCCATTGGCAATTTTATACAGAGTGAATCATAGTATATGTCAGATAAGTAGAAAATAATTCATTTCACTTTCATTCATTCTTTCATTCATTTTTCTGCCACTGTACTTCCAGGGGGAGAGATAGCAGGAAAATATGAATTAGATACTTTCAATATTTGTTATCAAAGCAATTTAATCCTATCACAGAAAATTAAAATAAAAACATTATTAAGAAAACCAAAATAGCACTTCAATTTCCCAAGATAACGGGAAAACATGCAAAATAAATATACAGTGATTGTAAACTCATATTTTCTAACACAAATTCTGAACTCTGATTTTGAAATCTACCAGCAGGAAAATGTTTTATTCAGGAAAAAGTTATGGAAAATATTCATTTTTCCCTTTTCTCATATAGAGCTGTGCACAAGAGAAAAATATTGCATTTTCTAGGCAAATAAAGAAAGAAAACTTCTTTTAGCTGCTGATGGCGACTAGAAAATGAAGAAAGCCAAAAAAAGGTATACTAATATTCACAAAATAACATAAAATACTTATAATAGGAAGGGGAACACAGTTTATTAATTCCTGCAAAAAGACTGGGCATACAGATAGTTTGTCTTGTGTTCAGAAAATTTTCATGAAACATCAAGTCTTTGATACATACATTCTATGGTATTCCTAGGCCTGTTTTATTTTGGGTGATTAAAAATACTGTTACCCTCATTTGTCACATTAAAAACTATAATATTTCAGAAATCTGGTGTATGCAAATGTCTCTAGCTATGCCAGTATTGATAAAGGTCTGTTACTATTTTCCCCTTCCAGTTTAAGAGTTGTATATCAAAATATTATCTTTCTGATCAGAACATTCCTACCATGGGGCCGGCCCGGTGGCGCACTGCTACAGTGCGCCACTTGGGAGTGCAGCGGCGCTCCCGCCAAGGGTTCGGATCCCACATACAGACCGGTTCCCGCTCACTGGCTGAGCGAGGTGCGGACGCAACACCTAGGGTTGTGATCCCGTTGCTGGTCAGTAAAAAAGACAAAAAAAAAACATAATATCTTAAGACAGCTTGGATTCAAATTTCTGTTCCTGCACTTAGGAGCCATTTGACCTCAGAGAAGTTATTTAATCTTTTTAGGCCTCAGTTTCCTGATCTTTGATGTGGAGATAAAAGGAATAGCTAGTTCATGAGGTTTTACTCACTCTTTCAAAAAATATGTACTAATGTTGTTCTCTGAGCACTGCAGTAGGTGTTGGGGATACCGCCAGCAAGATGAAATTATTATCCTTTATAATGCACTTATAAGAAGAGTATTTGGCATATCATTAGTGCTCCTGGACCCATTCCTACCATTAGTAATATTTAAATATTTTTATCTTATGAATCATATTTTTAATACCACCACTTTGTAAAATCCTGATAAACTGCAATTAATATTGAAGGTAAATTATACCCATCCTAATGTTGCAAATATTTTCTTATATCATTTTGTTTTCACAAATAGAAACTGATCTTTAACAATTTCTCTTTTGATGATAAGATATGTGACTTCTGAAATCTGATGGGAAAAATATTTTCTCCTTCCCTCTCTGTATTCTTTCAATGTGTAATATATGCTTATTCCTAAACCAATATTTCTCTCCATGGAGGGAAAAAACCATGGAGATAGGAAGGAGGAGAGAAAAGAACTTCAACATATTTTGGCTGTGAACTCCCATAGCTGGTAAAAAGGCTAAAGATCCAAAAATGTGAAAGGTGACATGAAACTCTAAAGCAGAACAGATAACTGAAGCTGTTCCATCCTGAAATGTCCTGTCGGTGCTTCTTCTCTCTTAGTGGGTGTATTCTGACATGAGAAGATTCAGGACTACCTTCTTAGCTATGATTTCCATACCAGGGTGGGGTTCTAACCTTTTCTGTCTGCCATGAGCCCTCCCCACTTCTCTTCTGTGTAATTTGGGCCCTTGTGTGTACAGATGCTCCTTATTCAAAACTATAGATAATTTCCTTCTGGGTACTCTATCATCTTTGAGCATATGGTTACTATTTTTCCATTTTCTGCCATTTTCTGCCTTTCTGAACGATATACTGTAGACACTCTGGATTCTGTTATGTTCCTACAAAGAGTGTGGTTCTTCTTAAAGCAAGCAGTTAACTTGGTTGAACTCCCACTGCAAAGTCTGTATCTCCTGTGGTTAGAGAAGCAGTTGAATTCTCAGTTTAGTTCTTTTAGCTTAGCTGATCTGCTTGGAGTCTGCACCACCCAACCACAGACTTACGCAGAATTTACACACAGAATTTGATTCTTTCCTTTCTAAGATTTCCTACCTCCCTTTCTAGCTGCTGTGGTTGCTTTAAACTCCATATGCCAGTTCTTCATGCCATAAGGCTTCTATCTGAATTTCAGCCACTCTGAATGGTACAACTAAGTGACTGCCTTTAAGCTAGCCATAAAATCAAAAAGCTCATCTAACATCATCACCATTTCCAAGTGTCAACTCTTCTCTTAGCCAGTGTCTCCATACAGTTGTTTCATTTATTTTTATATTTTGTCCACAGCTGATAGTTGTTATCTGTAGGAGGACTGGTCCAATAGGAGATAGGTGACAATTAGCAGGCATGGAAACTCTTGTTGCTTCCATCACTGCTGCTGTTAGCTGTGGGTCTAACCATCAATCCTTTATAGGTTTATAATCTGGCTTTTCCCTTATATTTTTTAGGTTAGTTTTAATATTTTGTCTTTAACGTCCTACAGTTTCATTAAAGTGTGCCTAGATGTTGACTAATTTTAATATACTCTTTTGACTCTTAAGATTAGTTTTATCATAGGTTCTGGAAAGTTTTCAGCCATTATTTCTTTGAATAGTGCTTCTCTACCATTATCTCTATTCTTTCTTTCTATAATATGCACTTGAATGTTATCACTTCATTTCTGTTATATTTTCCATTTCTTTATCTCTCTGAAATGTTCTCTGAGAAATTTCTTCAGATATCTCCTCCAATCTTCTACACAACTGTATCTGATATGCCACGTAATGTATCCATTAAGGCTTTCATTCCAGTTACTATATCTGAGTCTTTTTGAAATATGCCCAGACAATTGGATAGTGTCTTGTTCTTCTTTTAGATTTTTATTCCCTTTATTTCTGCAATCATATTAAATATAAAATTTTGAATTTAGTATCTGATGATTCCAATATCTGCTGACTTTTGGGGGTCTAATTTTACATTTTATTGTTTTTGCTGACAATAAAAAGGCTCAAGGTGATTTGTTTCCTCATGAATTTAATGATTTAAATTTGTAAATTTATATTCCCTGGGATTTTATCTGTAGAAATCCTTTGAGGACTATGCACAAAGAGACACCAACCTAGAGAGAATTTGTACTTTCATCAGGGGAACAATCAATGTATAATCATTTTAAACAACATTACTAGCTTAGAATTATTTAGGTTACAGAGCTGGCACGAATTCCAGCCTTACATTTGGGTGGTTTCTTGATTGAAGGTTAGGAAGTCTCAGGGAAGGTTGCTTTCTTTGTTTCTTTTACCCAACCCAGAGCCAAAACCAAAACAGGCATATCTTCTGCTGTGGGATGGGTTTTTCCCTAGTTCACTCACTGAGGACTCCAGGATGCACAGAGATTTGTCTCTAGCAATCATATTGCCAGAAATTAAGTTATTTTATTTATGTGCTTCCTGTCTTTCCCTCAGTTCTAGGTTCCTACCTGTATACCTCAGAACTGCTGAGGAGACAGGCACAGCATATGCAGGAGAATAATTTTTAAGCTAAGAATGGAACACCCAGCACTACTCATGGACTCTGATAAACAATATATCCCAGGGCCACAGCAATACTATTTTCCAAGCTCCCTTAGCCTTATCCCCTCCTTCAGTCTCTCCTCTTTGTACTTACCTGAACCTAACTTGTCTTACAATCAACAAATAAACCTATAATTTCATTAAGCAAGCAGTACAATTTTAATAGACATTTATTTACTTGGTAGTCTTACCCATAATTATGCATTATTCTACAACTCTTTATCATCTTAAAATTTCTGAACGTATTTCTCCTAGTCATTTTTTGGGTGATAAATATCCTTCAATATGATTCTATAAGCTTATTTAATTAGTATCTACCAGCACTGATTTTCTATTTATACCTAGAAACTTGCATTTGTTTTTTAACTCCTTTGTTCATTCATTCAATAATAATATATTTAACACCTATTTCATACCAGACAATCCAATCCCTTAAATAAAATTTTAAATGTTCATTTTATGCCATATTCAAGAGGCCATAAACAGAAAACAGTACTTGGTATATAAAACACTTAATATTCTTGATTTGATTCCTTTAGGTTCCCAAACATCTTAATATTAGAATGTATAATCTCCTGCCACCTGCCTATATTTAAATATTACTGCTTTACAGAAAAGAAGGCTGAATCTTGTTCATATGAATGACAGATAATCAGCTAAACAGCCATTTTTGCTTATCTAATTAGAGTCATATCACATTTCAATGATCTTTCAAAATTATAATCTAAGAAAAAATATGTGACATTAGATCCCAGAACCAACAGAATAGCAAATGCTTTTTTATTCTACTTGTTTTTTAAATTAATTAAGCTTGAATGAGTGTAGTAAATTATCCTGTGGACTACATTCTGAAATCAAGGATGGCAGATATTCACATTTATACTATTTTAAAAAGTCAAGTTACAAATCCAGGAACTACTGAAATATAGCAAGCGAGGTTAAGGAGAGCTTTTTTGTTTTTTCCCCCAAGCAATCATCTCCATCATATTACTAAAGGAATTTCATTTACTTTTGAGTCAATAACTTAGAAAATTTTGTGGAAAAATCCACCTTAAACACCAAACTATGATGGTGAAATTGTGTCACCTTAAACAGAAATTTATCAATATCATAAAGCATCAGACAGTGCATTTTATGATATATTCACCTATAATATTATTTGAGTAAATATTCATTCTCCTTTAATCTGTGTTTGATGCTTTCAGAAAACTTTATTATGACATTAAATAAACACTAATGACATACTAAAGCATAGAAAATATATTTAGATATTTGATAGAAGAATTTGTGTACTTTTCAATTTCTCGTATGCTTTCAAAGACATCAGTGGAAGTGTAATATCTCTGTATAACCCAAGTGACTGGGAATAGATTGGACCTACCATTCTCACTCAGTGGGAAAAAGGAAACTTGTACAATGCATCTAATGGGTTTATTTCTTCTAAAACCTTTTAGGTAACTTAATTTTGTAAATTCTAAGTTAAATTCACCTCTTGCATATATTTCCTTAACATTTAAACATATTTTCTGACAACAGAACCATACTGATGTTGGAAATAAAATGATCCAACCAGAAAATATTAAAAAAACTAATGAAGGACCTTGCCAGTATCTTTTGTACATTCTTGCACAATTAATCACAGCATCAAAAACAAAACAAAACAAGAAAGAAATAAAATAGTAATACTTACACATGGGCAAGGCTTGACAGCATCACTTGGAAAAAATCCAACCTCTCCAGATGCTAAATTTCTACCCTATGTTAGAAAAAAAAAAAAAAGCCAGTGTTGATAACAAATTTACCACCAATGATAAATCCCATAATTCGCTTACACAGTGTTGCTATTTAGGATCCTCAGAATTATTTACATGTATGAAGTGATGAGCATTAACTTACTATGGCTCAGGACATGGGAAAGAAGAGGAGAACAGAGGGGAAGAAGGGGGTGGTTAGGAGAAGGAGATCAATTAAATAACCTGGCAAAGAGAAGATCTTAGTTTTGTCAAGATTCATTCACAGCAATGCACTTGATTATCAGGGAAAAAGTAAGTGGAGAACTGTTCATTCTCTAATACTAATTTGGTTACGCACTGAGGAAAAGGTAAAAAATCATAAAATAGTTTCTGGTTTCCCCTATTTTTTACAGTGGAGAAAACACACACACACATACATACACACATATAAAAATATAATACAAGGTAGAAAGGGCTAAATACTGTTAGAGAGGAACAGAGGAAGAGCTATGGAAATTAAAAGGACAGATGGACTATTTCAGGGGTTTGACTGAAAGCGACATGGCACAGGTGGCACATGAATGTAAAGTTTGTAGGGTTTAAACGAATGGAGGGGGAAGTGGAGGAGAACATTCTGGAAACAAAATACAGCATGAGAAAGGCACAGGGGCAGAAAATTACAGGATGTGCATAGGAAATACAAATAGTTATCTTCAAATGGAGACTAATAGTGGCTAACATTTATTGAACCCCTACTGTATGTTAGACACTGCCTGGTTTTATGTAATCCCTACAATGATCTTTTGGGTTAGGTCTAATTACCCCATTTTATATATGAGGAAAATGAGACACAGAGAAGGTAAATTATTTGCCCATGAACACAGAGCTAACAAGTGACAGAGCCAGACTTCACACTCAGATGTTCTAACTTTGGAGTTCTGCACGGTCTCTCTGTACAAACATAAGCATAAGATTCAGAATGGAAGACAGTGGAAAGTAAAGCTAACAGGTAGCAAGGAATCAGTTTATAATACTTGAATTTTATCACTGGTGATGGGATTTCACTACAGGTATTGCATATTTTAGAATAATTAAAATAGCATCAACGTGGAGGATGGCTTATAGATGGGCGTGACGAGACTATGATTAGGAAACTGGTACCATGGTATGGGGAGAGGAGCTGGAGGTGAAACAGGGCTGGAGAGAGAATTTAACGGGAGTCTACCAGATTTGCCTGAGGATTAGATATGGGAAGAAAAGACTGTGGGAGTTAATGACTGGGAGAACTGCTGAGAAGCAGGGTGGGAGCTGATTATATAATCCACTCACACAGATCACATGGACTTATATGACAATCTTATAAATAAACTTAAAATCATAGGAGCAAGACTGTCAAGGAGGAAAATGTAGAGCAAAGAAAATGGAAGACAGAACTTACAGAAATTAGTGTAACTGGAAGGAAGGAACAAACCTCCAGGAAGGAGGAGAATCAGAGACTAGGGAGCAAAGGCAGAACAGTAACTATAAGGCAGGGGTGCAGTGTTTCTTTCACTCAGTGGTATTTGCTGAGTGCTGTATGGTGCTTTATTTTAAGTATGACACTGAGAGACAAGTAAAAACGTATGGTATTTGGGGACTACACCACTAGACAGACCTTCATTTATAAATGTACTGCAGTGCTACCTGAGTGCAAAACACGAGGGTATGTGGGTGGGATCCATACACTGACTGAGCTAAGAATGAGAGTGATTTTTTAAAAAACAGAAATAAGACCTCTGAGAGTGCGCTCAAGGAAATCAGTCTATTTTGCAGAGGAAAGGTCTAAGAGAGCTTTAGAATGGTCTTTCTGAACTGACGGTATATCAACAAGTTAGAAAATTATGGCTATTATAAGAACAATGAACTGTCAATCCCCATTCTTTATCAGAATAACAACAAAGGTCTTTATCTACAGAATGGAGAGTTTGGGAGAAGCACTGATATTTGTGTGACTGTGCGTGTCGGCCAATGTAATAGTACCTTCTGCCTTTAAACAAAATTGACACAGGGCCTCTCATATTGATTGATACCTGCACTCTGTTCGTCCTCCAAAACTCAGTTCACACATCGCCTCCTCCGTCATGTCTTCTATGAAACCTTCCCCAAACTGCAGATCCAGATTTAATTCCATGCCTGTTCTCCTACTGCACCTTCGTGCACTTACAGCAGCATATACAGTAGTAACACTTGCGAAGTACAGACTTTAGTAGCATGTGTAATTATTGTTCTGCACGATCTTCTCCATTACTAGACCGTGAGTTCTCTGAGATCAAGGACAACGTCTCGGACATTTTTGTATGTCCGAGGTCTGATGCATGGTAGGAATTTAAAAATGTTTGTAAATGGAGTATCTATCAACTCGATAAGCCCATGTCAATTTAGGGTATGACCCTAAATTTCCCTTCATTAAAAAGAATAAAATATATTACACTTTGTTTTTACAAAGGCAAACACTGAGAACCATTAAGCTGCCTGTTTTTACATAAAAATATTCATATATCCTTTGTGTTATATTCCTTGAACTGTTCCTGACACTTTGTATAAGGACTGTGTGTTGGGGAGTGCAATGTCATGAAACAGAGAGAAGGGAGATGAGGACACATGAATGAAAGATAGAAGAAAGTGCAATGCATTTTATAATTCATGAAGGTGTACGGACTGGCAGGTTTTTTCTCTTTCTTCCTTTGTAGAACAAAGTGTTCCATGCAAAAGTCATGAATGGGAACAGAAATCATCCTAGATGGTACAGGAAGGGACCATGGTTATATAAGAAATGCCCTAAAGTTGGGTGGACATATAATTTTCCATTCAAAGCAGAATCTTATGGAGTAAGGGGGTAGTAATTAATAACTATGCCAGGACAAAAAATATATAGTGGAACTGCTCTGGGCAAACCAACACACACTGTCATAGTATCAAAAACCATTTTGTTCTTTCTCACCTCACTTCAAGGACACTATCAAAGTCTTTCAGGAGGGGGATAATTTAAGCTGGCCACTAAGGACATTCTGAACTGCTTTTACATTAATTAAATGTCCTAGCAGTGCAGATTATGCTTCTTTAATAGTCATAGGTATTCCTTAGATGACAAAGAGGTGAGAGATAATTTAACTTATCTTAATGGATGAATAAAGTTACGATTCCTCACTAATTCCTATGAGATGCCAGTTTTAGTCATAGGAAATAATAAGTGATGTATTCAGTAATTTCCGCTTATTAAGGAAATAGCCATCCTACAACATTTGGAGGATTCAAAACAAAGTAGTGTGTAGGAGGGGTGTCTTTGGTGTCTTGGTGGATGTGTGCAGGTTGTATGTTGGTAATTCATTAACAGTAATGGATGGAACAGCTGTCAATCCCCTATGCATAGATGGAGTTGCAGACTGTAACTCTGAAATAAAACAGCTTCAAAGCCAGTGATTTAGTGCACTTTATGTGATGATCTATGAGATTTGTACTAACCTTGATGAGAGACATGTAACTAAATTTTCTTTTTCTTTACATTCCTCTGTGGGGATTTTATTCTGAGTCAGATAATCAGCTTGTCATCCCTTTTATGCCTATTATAAATGCCAGAGATAAGGAATCATCTTTTAGTTATCCTCCTGTCTGATATTCTGTGAGTCCCTTAACATCTTCAAGGTCAACTTGCAAACATCCCTCTTTCATACTTATGTGTTGTCTGATACACCTACGGTGCTATCTTTATATGCATTTATTCTGTAGGGCATCTCTGTATTATGTGTTAGATTTTGTAAATCTAACAGTACAGGTTGGGTCATTCTTATGAAAATACTTCCTCTAGAAAATACCTGAGAAAATAGGCTATGGGTTGTATATGGTGAGAAAAGATGCACCTTTAAAATTTTCATTCAAAAATTAGAGCAGACACAAAGCAAAACAATACTAAATGATACTTTATGAAAATAATAATTCATAAGATAACAATGCCTTTTTTGTGGAAAAGCAAATTGCTTCTCATAAAAAAGTACCAAACTAAAACAACTGACAACTTTCTCTGAAATTCCTGAACATCACGAATATAAATGCATATTCAGGCACTTACGTATTTCTAACTGACCTTAGGTTTTAACTATTCCTCATTTTTCTTCCATTCAAATCCACAGTGAAGCATACTAAATTAAGGCTACTTTATATTTGCCAGTAGAACTGTATTTACAATCTACCTATATGGAGAAAATCATTAGTGTATGCTGGCATGTCAGAGCTACAACTGCAGTTTTAAACCCATGGGTAGGGATGGCTTAAAATGACAGAGGATGTCTTCCAAAAATCTTAATCGTAAACTGCTTGGCTCCTAACTTTGTAAAGAGGAGGAAGAACTGCTTTAAGAAAAATACAGTGACTCTTCCCTGAGGTTCATTTATCCCCTTAATACTACCTGGATTGGAGCTTTAATGCACTCCTGCAATAGCACTGAGCAATTTGAAACAGATGTGGAAAGCCGAATGTAAAAGGGACAGATTAATGGTTATTTATGAAAGATTGGAAATTCTTCCAAGTTACAATGCCCTAAATACTCTCAACATATGCACGATGGTGCTGTGGAGATTACTAAGCAATTTATCACACATGGGTAATGGCTAGAGCAACTGTCACCCTGTCCAGTCAGTTTCCCACTGTCAGAAATACACAGTGTGAATGTGTGGTTGAAGAAGACATACAGCGTGGCCATGAATTATAGAACTATGGGTGAATATACATACAAATTAGTTCATAAATTAGACGTGTAGATGAATAGATGGGTGGATGGATGGATTGATACATACACAGACAGATAAAAGCAAGTGCTATTTTTGGATTTATTCTGACAAGTTTTACGAGGACATGCCATGGAATAAAAGGACTATAAAAGGGGGAATGATCAAGAAAAGACCCAGTCTGAAACTGGCCTTTGGCAAGGAGTGATTTGTGATCATAGCTGCAGCTATACTGTAAGCATCGTCATCAGTTAGACATACAT